TTTTGAACCATTCAGTGTTACCCTGCTCTGTTCTGACTATTGCCTCTTGGTCCAAGTATAGGTTTCGCATTAGCATGATTAAATGTTCTGGGATTCCCATTCTTCTCAGAGTCAGCCACAGTTTGTTATGATCCACACAGTCAAATGCCTTTGCATAATCAATGAAATACAGATAGACATTCTTCTGGTGTTCCCTGCTTTCAGCTAAGATCCATCTAACATCAGCTGCAATATCCCTGGTACCACGACCCCATCTAAACCCAGCCTGGACTTCTGGCAGTTCTTTGCTGATGTACTGTTCCAGTCGTTTTTGGATAATCTTTAGCAGAATCTTGCTTGCATGTGAAATCAATGATATTGTTCTATAGTTTCCACACTCTGTTGGGTCATCCTTCTTTGGAATGGGAACAAATATAGATCTCTTCCAACCAGTTGGCCCAGTGATTGTTCTCCAGATTTCTTGGCACTGCTTGGTGAGCACATCCAGGGCAGCATCTGTTAGCTGAAATATGTCAATTGGTATACCATCTATTTCTGGAGCCTTATTTTTTGCTATTTCCTTCAAAGCAGCTTGAACTTCTTCCTTCATCACCATAGGCTCTTGCTCAAGTGTTATTTCATTAAATTCTTCTGTATCTACCAATTCCTTTCGATACAATGACTCAGTATATTCCTTACTTTTGTTTTTAATGGTGTTTTGGTTTATTATTTTGGAAGATCCCAAACTCCCTGAATGTTGAACGCATACCCTTTATCTTACATTTTTGAGGGTATATTCCTTGGAAAGGAGTCTCATGCTTGGAAAGATGGAGGGTCAGCAAAAGAGAGGAAGACCCTCGGCCAGACTGGCACAGTGGCTGCAGCAGTGGGCTCGAGTGTGCCAGAGAGGATGAGGATGGCGCAGGGCAGGGTTCAGGTCTGCTGTCCACAGGGTCACGTAGTCATATTTGACACACAGCACCTGACAACAGGGAGCAGTGCTTGGAGGATTCAGGGGACGGAGAGCTTCTCTGACCGGAGGATTGGAGCGGGGTGTTGACATTTTGGAAGAGCGGCCTTTGAGTTGATCCTTACAGCAGCACCGCTTGGGACAGTGGAAGAAGGCCGGGCCGTCTCAGGGAAGCTGAACACGTTGCAACAACTGCATTTTCTTGCCTTCCCCCCTTGTGAGCCTCTCGGGCTCACAAGGTCCTGTGAAAACATTGAGGGCTGCCTGCTTGTGTCAATAGCGGCTGTGGTGGTGCTGTTGTTGTTGTTGTTGTGTGCATTATCCAGTCAGAACCAACCCAGCAAGTTTTCAGAGGCTGTAAGTCACGTGGGAGGAGATTGCCCATCTCGTCTCCCCCACAGCCGCTGGCAGATTCACACCACTTACCTCTGGATTGGCAGCGCAATTCCTTATCACTAAGCCTCCTGAGCTCCTTAGTGACGGCGTTAGAGGCCATCAAGGCCACTTTCAACTTAAAGTGACCTTGTGTGGCAAACTGCCCAAGGGGTTTTGTGGGCTGTCATCTGCTCTGAGTCAGAAGTAGCTCATTGGCGAGAGGTTTGGGACTTTGGGTTTATGGAGGGTTCTTTTTTTAACAAAATCTTCATGAGAGCAGATCACCAGACCTTTCCCCTTAGAAAAAAGATGCCTATTTTGATGGACATCAATGAATAAATTTACTTTCCAGGAACTATTTGGGTTTCTACTACATGCTTAGAAAAGGAAGTGTGTTACAGGATTGGTTCAAGGCCTAAAGGTAGCCCTTCAGGGAGCTCTGGTGGCCTAGTGGCAAGAAGCTGCACGATGCTCTGCTGGAGAAGGAGGGGCAATCTCCTCCTGTACCAGTCAGATCCGATTTGATGGTTGTTGTTGTTATGTGCCGTCGAGTCACTTGCGACTCATAGCGACCCTATGTACAACAGCCCTAATAAACCCTGCTCTACCCTGTGCCAATTGCACTGTCTCTGACACACCCCAGTCACTGAATCAATCCACCTCATAGAGGGTCTTCCCCTCCTGTGTTGTCCCTCCACCCTCCCAAGCATGATGTCCCTCTCCAAGGACCTGTCCCTCCTTACAACATGTCCAAAGTATGTCAGATGAAGCCTCAGAATCCTTGCCTTCAAGGAGCAGCCTGGTTTAATGCTCTCCAGGATGAATCTGTTTATACACACACAAAATTTAAAATAAAGTAAAATAAAGGTAGCCCTTCAACAGGTGGTTGCTATTCCATGGTTACCTTTTACTATGTCCAGGCCCTGCTGGGTGAGTTGGAACTGCTGACCTTGCTGTTAGCAGCTGAACATTTAGCCGTTTACCAGGGCTGCTACTGGCAGTGGTAAAAAAATGGTCTCACTTACTGCCTAATTAATGGCAATAAATAAGCTGCACATTAAAGGTGTCTGTAGAGCCCTGGTGGCCTAGTGGCAAGAAGCTGCACTGCTATACTGCATGTACTCGGTTTGAGGCCCGCAGCTGCTCTGTGGGAGCAGGATGGGCAGTCTCCTCCTGTGCGATTAACTGCCTCTGAAAACCAGCCGGCGGGTCATTTGGACTACTGGACGGTCCACAGTAAAGGTGGCTGTAAAGACATGCACTCCCCAGACCTGCCAGTAGAGAGCAGCAGCTTCCCCTCTAGCTGGGTGTTCTGGCCCAGGGACCCCCTGACACCCCCGTCCTGGCCTGTCCTTTCTGAGCCCTGCTCCGTTCTTGACAGGATGCTCACGAGCTCTTCCACGTCATCACCTCGTCGTTGGAGGATGAGCGTGACCGGCAGCCCCGGGTCACACATCTGTTTGATGTGCACTCCTTGGAGGTAAGACCTCTCTGGATTGTCTGCATGCATCTTGACGGTGTTTGTCTGTCCATATTCAGTACCGAATACCAGAAACACCAGTGTAATGCAGGTACAACTTCAGTGTCAAACGTTAGATTCAGCAAGAGCCAGGAGTGGCCATGAGGGCGGGGAAGGTGGCCAAGGGCCTTCTGGGTAGCGGGTGACTGGTGAGAAATATCAGGGGCTTTAAAATGACCCATCATGCCATTTGTGTTAACTTGGAGAGAAAGAGTGTACAATTCCCCCCCTCTCCCCATTTAATCAGCAAGAATAAGGGGCAGTAGAAATGCTAAATGTTAAACTTGTCTGCATTTTCCTAAAACAACAGGAAGGCCTGTGTTGATAAAAAGGGCAAGAAATAATCCAGGGGGGAGCTGTGTTCTGATTGCATTTGCTAAGAAATGTAGACAGTCATTAACCAGAGAGGATCATTAATACAGCTTCAGCATCATGGGCTGCTGTTGTTGTTAGGAGATGGAGTTTTCAGTGGTGCAGCCAGCACAGAAACGTGTCATCTTCAAGGTGGGGTGAGGGGTAAGAGGTGACTGTGGGATTCTCAATGTTTCTTTTTTCCTCTACAGCAGCAGTCAGAAGTCACCCCCAAACAGATAGCCTGCCGCACCAGAGGTAGCCGTTTTCCATTCATATCTATTTGCTTGTTGTTCATTTTTCCCCCTAGTGACCGCCAGTCCAGCTCAGACATGTACTTTAAAATATTCTCTGAGGGACCATCTTGAGTTGCTCTCTCTCACCCCAGTCCCACTCAGTTCCCCAGATAGAGTTACTGGAACCTCAAACAAAAGTTTTCTTTCTGCCTTCTGTAACTGAGCCCGTGAAGAACTTAAGAGACCGCCTTTCCTGTCCTCAGCGTGTCCACTCTGGCCACCTTTTATGGCCAGTGATCACAGTGATTACGGGGGAAATCATTGTTTTCCTGGGCTGGAAGTGTGAAAAAGAAAATGGAAGCATTTCTTTTTTTGTACATCCCAACTCGTACCAACGCATTAGCACAGAGTAGAAGTGGCTCAGAGGGTTTGCAAAACTAATCTGTGGAGAGCAGAGCAACGCATCTTAGAAAAACTAGAGGATTCCACCTGCCGCCCTTTGGGTAACAGCCAAGCACTTAACCACTGAGCCATCAGGCGCCCTTTCCCCCTCTGTTGTTGTTGTTTTGTGCTCTCAAGTCAGAACCAGCTTAATTGCGCCTCCAGCAGTTTTTCAGAGACTCTGTCGCACAAGAGGGAGTGGCCCATTTTTCTTCCACGGAGCAGCAGGTGGATTTGAACCGCCTACCTTTTCCACTCACCCATAGCAACACTGTGTGATAGAATAGAATTGCTCCGCCGGGTCTCTAAGGCTGGAATCACTGTGGAATTGGACTGCAGAACAGTTGTTTGGTTTCCACCAACCTTTGAATTAGCAATAGAGCACTTAATGACACACGTTATTAATAAGACCCAATACTCATTCTACAGAAGGCACATTTAAAAACCTGTAAGAATTCTGTGATGGGAATGCCATGACTTTTTTTCTTTAAATGAAAGTCAGTAAGGGAAGAGCTGTATCGTTTGACTTCACACGCACTCTCCGTCTTCTAGTCAGTTCTGACTCATAATGACTCTCCGTTCAGTTTCCGAGGCAGTAAATCTTTATAGGTGGAGACGGCCCCGTCTTCCTCCCTCAGCACACCTGGGGATTGGAACCACCAACCTTTCATTTAGCAGCACAGCACTTTAAAAAAAAAACAAAACCAAACCTATGAGGGAGTTTTTACCACATGCTGAAGAGAGGAAAAAGGGAGTGATTTTTGAAGCCAGCTGCAAAGGACTCAAAGTGTGATACCAAAAGACAGTTTGTATTTCAGGATCCCCTCACCCTACGTCCACTCACTGGAAGTCTCAGCACCCTTTCCATGGAAGACTGACCAGTAACATGGTCTGCAAACACTGTGAACACCAGGTGAGAACAGGCCCAGGGCCCCATTCGGTCTGGTGAGGGGTTCTTTGAGGACTTGGGGAGGGGACTTGGGGGTCTAGGTGTCAAGGGCTGACACTGCCGTCCAGGCCTCTGACTGCGGTGCCCTCGGTGGACTGAATGCCCTGCTTGAGTGCCTGCTGACTGCCCGGCTGGTCCTCGGGTGGCACCTTCAGCACCCACACAGGACAGCCGCTGTGGACCAGCAAGGCCTCTGTCGGGCCTGGTCCCCTCTCTGCATCAGAGTATGCAGGTTTAGACCCTGTTTGGGTGGGGGTGTGTGTGTGTGTGTGTGGCTTTTTTTAAAACCAGTGTTTTATTCCTCCCAACAGAGTACAAAAGCAGACAGTTGTTCTCATCACAAGCCAATTGAGACCATTTTTATTCCCCATGTCCCCCAAACCACCTTGCCCCGCGTGTCTTTAGGTGCTGAGTCAACTGCAATTCTTAGTGACCCTTTGAGTAACCAACAGACACCTTATCCTCTCCCGAGCCGTCCTCACAAGCTCCTCCCCTCACTCACTGCTGTAAAGGCAAAACCAGCTCAGAGCCAACCAGTGCTTTCAGGGAAGCTGTAAACCTCACAGGAGGAGGTTGCCCAGCTGTTGTTATAATTCGTCCTGCTAAAATTAATAATAGGCTAGTTATAAGACTGTCAAGTCAATCTAGTCCCAAATGCCTGCTGTGTCTGTCCGTGATCTCCAACAGCAGCAGCTCCTTGGTTCTGCTTCCTCACTTCTCTGTGTCCCTTGGGTCCGATGGCTCGCTACAAGGTCTCCCAGAGACTCAGACCCATTAGGGGGGTGACTCACGTGACCAGAGGTAGCAGGCTGGTTTTGGAGAAACTGGTGAGCTATGGGCCAGGCCCGCGTGTCACCATGGCACAGCTAGATGGTGACTGTGGGTGATGCAGGCAGGTGGTGTGAGCCTGGTGAGCAGCTGAGAGCGATGTGCCAGGTGAGCGGGCTTTTCCAAAGGGAAAAAGCACGTGGCACTGAGGTCCCAAGAGCTTCAATACGCCTCTAGTCAGGTGGGGACGTCAGGTGGAGCTTGGACCCCATCCTGACCCACTCTCCTTAATACAGTACTTCAGCATAACACAAACAGTTAATCTTTCAGCTAGGAAAAGACAGTTTTGAATGATAAACCTGAAACACCCAGACCACCTTTCTCCCACAGTGCCACTGCTGGATTCGAACCGCCAGAGAGGCACTGCTTTGGGCTAGCAGCCTGCGCCACCAGAGTCCCCTTGTTTGCCACCAGTGACATTTGTATCCTGACACCTTGGGGGAAAATTCACTTAATTGGTTCTAGACATTTTCTCTGATTCCTTCAAATTCTCTGTGTGTTAACAATCATGTGAACACAAAGACTTCCTTTACCCTCTTTATACCTTTTATTGGTTTTTTTTATTCTTCTGTGTTGTGCACTTTGGTGGCCTAGTGGGTGAGAACTTGCTCTGCCAATTCAAAAGGCACACAGTTCGAATCCACCAGCTGCCCGGCAGGAGAAAGACAGTCTCCTCTGAAAACCCACTGGGGGTCACTTAATAGCACGTGACAACAGCGGTATTATTATAAACTGTAAGATAGCATTCCAGTCTTACCATGTTCCAGGATTTGTTTAGCCATCACCTGGAAACAGTCTGTTCACATTTTTGCTGTTCTGAACAGTGCCGTGATGAACATCTATATAGCTGTACCCGAACTGCCAAAGATCAAAGCCCAGCGTTACTGGGACAGCTGTGTGTAAGCTTTTCATTTTCCCAAGTTGATGACTGGCATTTTTTGAATGAGGGGTTTTTTGAAAAGAATTTCTTTCTAAATCATCCTGTTTCCTTTACTGTTGACTATTTAGATTGGGACTGTTGACATGAGACTATTTCGTAGCCATGTGTTTTCCCCTTTAGCAAGCCTGGCATTGATCACCTTTCTGGGTTTGTTTTCAGAGTCCTGTTCGCTTTGACACCTTTGATAGCCTTTCACTAAGTATCCCTGCTGCCATGTGGGTACGTACTGGTCTGTGCTTTACTTTCACTGTTTCAAGACATTTCAATCTGATAGCCCTTTTAGGCATTTTGTGTGACTCGGGGACTATGTTACTCAGACACGCAGCCTGGCTTTAAAGAGGTGCCATGGCCTAGGAGTCCTGGGATGGTGCACATGGTTAACACACTCAACTGCTGGCTGAAAGGTTGCCAGTTCAAGTCCACGCAGATATGCTCTGACAGAAAAAAAATGGCTGTCTGTTTCTGAAAAACCAGCCACTGAAGGACCCTGGTGGAGCACACGTCTAGTCCAGCCCACGTGGGGTCACCATCATGAATGGGAATCAACTCAGTGGTGGCTCGTTACCACGACCTCAGTAAAGAGGGGGAGGGATGGTGCGTGTGTGCCTGCTGTAGACGCCTTATTGTTTTTGGACACACATGTGGGTGTGTGTATTTGTCCAATTCTGAGATAACTGGTCCAGTGTGGACCGCCGTGTCTTTCTGCGGTGTTACCTACACACACCTCTGAACCACCAGCAGCAGCACGGCCGGAATGATCAGCGCTGCACATTGGCTTAGGCCCAGCTGATGGTGCCGGGTTCTCTCTGCTGTCTGTTAGCAGATTGAGCGTAGCCCCCCTCCAGCCCGCCCCAAATGCTGAGCAGTAATAATTCCTTTTCTTCTGTTGCTGTAGGGCCACCCACTGACCCTGGACCACTGCCTGCACCACTTCATCTCATCGGAATCCGTGCGGGATGTCGTATGTGACAACTGCACAAAGGTATGGGTTCACCCACAGGAGCCATCTCCGCTGACTTGCGCCTCCTGTCAAGCGCCGCTCATACCGTTAGCCCTGGAGTGGTTGTTTTTTTTATCCTTTTATACCACCTCATATTCTTTTAAGGGAGCTCCAGTGGCTCAGTGGTAAGGAACCTGCCAACCCAAGGGCACTAGGTTCGAATCCACCAGCTGTTCCATGGAAGAAAAATGGGCCTCCTCCTCCTGTGTGATTTACTGGCTCAGAAAACCTACTGGAGGGTCAGCTGTGGATCGGTTATGACTCAGTGCTCCATGCAAAACAGCAGTAGACTCTTCCACCATAGCAGTTTCTGTCTAACTGGGATTGGAAGTCAGCAGCCTGTGAACCAGTTATCTTTTCCCAGTGAACTTGCTTCATGCACTGAGTGTTTAAAGAAAAATCCAGGTCATGCTTGGAGGTCATTCTTTGCAGTGGGGTACAGACCTCAGCGTGCCCTAGTGTCTCACACCTTACCTTTTGTTTTCTTTATTTCTAATTATCTAATTATTTTTTAATTGTGTTTCACTTATGTACATTGTTTATGGTGGGGTTTTTTTTTTGTTTTTTTTTTTAATGCTCTCTCCCCATCAGACTTTTCAACCGGGTAATTTCCTCCCTTCTGCACCCTCGGGCCCCTACCCCCACCCCTTCCCCTCTTTGTATATCCATATACATCTCACTGGTTATCCTTCTGTTTTTATAATCGTAGCCTCATGCAGTATTTGTTCTTACACACCTGAGTTAGTTCACTTAGCGTAAGTCTCTCTAGCCTCTCTCATGTTATAAAGTCATTTTCAGAATCGTTGCTCCTGTGTGCTGCATAGTACTCCATCGTGTGAATGTCTCACACTTTCTCCGTCCAGACATTTCGGCTGTCTCCATGTCCACACCTTGCCTTTTTTACCTGCACTGTTTGTCTGACCACCACTCTCACACCCCACAAGCAATTGACTTGTACACTCTGAACCAGAGGGATTGTGTGGACTTGGTCAGAGGCCATGTGCTCAATCACTGACCCCTGCAGGAATCACAGGACACCTTTGGTAATAGTATCCACACACAGTAAATAACTAAAGTCAGGAGGAATGGCGCTCTATGGCACAGCGGCTGGGCTGTCAGCTGCAGATTGAAAGGTTCCAGCCAGCAGTCGCACTGCGGGAGAAAGATGTGGCAATCTGCTTCCCTGAAAAACGACCAGAAACCGCACCACCCATTGCCGTTGAGTTGACTCCGACTCAAAGTAGTCAGTCCCAGAGGAACCAGGAGAAGCACCACAAAGTAATTCCGAGTTCTTTCTGGAAGCAGACTGCCAGGCTGTGCTCCTACGAGGTGACTGGGAGGTTCGAACCACTCACATTTTGGTTAGCAGCCATTTAACCACTGTGCCTTAAGAGCACCTTCTGCAAAGGTTCCAGGATTAGACCCAGGAAAGCCTAGGGGAACAGTTCTCTGTCCTAGAGTCACCCTGAGAGGAAAGACGCATGACAGCAGTTTGGATTTGGGGGTTTGGAGTAGAAGAGTAGTTCTGAAGACTTGGAACCAAATAGGTCAGAGTTCTGCATTGATTTCTTTCTTCATCTCCTCTTCCATCCACTGTTAGGCCATGTATCACAGGGCAGCCAAGTTCATGACAGCTGGCGGAAGGCCAGTGCCTGAAAGGCACACTGCCCCCGTCCAGGCCCCAGTCGTGTGACCTGCGGCTCGCGTCTCTCCCAGACCCCTCACTGTGAGCATCCTTACAGACAAGTGCTGTTTCTTTCATTTCAGATAGAAGCCCAGGCGACGCTGACCGGGGGGAAGGTGGAGCACCAGAGGACTACATTCGTCAAGCAGTTAAAGCTCGGGAAGGTGAGCCCACCTCCCGCACACACCTCGTGGCCCTGGCTCTGGGCCCTGCACCCACAGTGACGCGCCGTGTCGCCCGCAGCTCCCACAGTGCCTCTGCATCCACCTGCAGCGCCTCAGCTGGTCCAGCCAGGGCACGCCTCTGAAGCGGCACGAGCACGTGCAGTTCAGCGAGTTCCTGACGATGGACATCTACAAGTACCGCCTGCTGGGCCACAGGCGAGGCCAGCCCCAGCCCACGCTGACCAACAGTGCCGGAGCCGGGCCGCCAGTCCCCAAGCCAGGTGTGTCCAGCTAGTTCACCAGGAGCTGGCCACCGAGAGATGGGTACTGGGGTGCCAGCACCCTCCTTTCAAGTCCTCTGTAATGTAGGGGAATGGCTTGTACAGGAGCCCCTGAAAATCTGGAGAACAGGAGAATCAAGAGAGGAGAGGGGAGCTCTTAAAGCTATGGAAATGCTAGACCATGCAAAGTTTGTACAGTTTGCAAAACTGTTACAGGTGCCAAACATCGAGAGAAAAGCTTGGTCTTTCTTGCTTTCTTATCGTTGTTTCGGTTTGGTTTTTAAATGAGCCATCAAGTCAGAGCTGATCCTTTGGTGGGTTTTCAGAAGCTGTAAATTGCAAGGGAGGAGACTGCCCATCTTTCTCCCAAGGAGCAGCTGGTGGACTTGAACTGCTTGCCACCAGAGTTCCCTTCTTTCTGGCCTTTTGACTAACCAGAATTTGGTCCACATTGCTCATCCGAGTGGGTATCCTTCTCCCCGGGCACACTGGGTGGCCCAGCTACAGATGTGGGCAGTCAGCACTGGCACTGCTTCCCACTGACCCTTCACTGTCCTCATTGGCTGGCGGTCAGTCATCCTGACACTAGATCCCAGTTAAGCAGCCAGAGCCTGGCTAGCTGCTGTCACTTCACTCTGACTCCTGATGGACCCAGGGGTGCACAGTTCGGGCGCTGTCGAGTTTTCAATGGCTGGTTCCTAGAGGTTGATCACCAGGCCTTGGTTCTAAGGTGCCTCTGGGTGGATTTGAACCTCCAGCTTTTCAGTGATTTGCCTCCCCTCGTGAAGCATCACACACTGTGGTGGAGTCGAATCTAACTCATAGTGACCCAGAATAAGAGTAGAACTGACTTGGGAGCTCTGGTGGCCGAGTGGGTAAGGAGTTGCATTACCAACCGAAAGGCAAGTGGTTCGAATCCACCAGCTGCTCCGTGGGAGAAAGATGGACACTCTCCTCCTGTGTAAGTTCTACCCTCTAAAAGTGCTGGATGGTCATCTCTGAGTCAGTTCTGACTCAACAGTACATAACAACTGAACTCCTTTGCTAGGGGCCTCTAACTTTTTTAATTGAATTTTTTTTCTTTTTTTTTTTTTTTGTTAGTTCATTTTTATTGATCAGTTTAAAGTTTTGCAGGGGTTTTTTTTTTCCCAAGAACCTCTGTTTGGTTTATCTGAGTCTTCTCTTTTACCTTACCCTTTTTAGTTTTCATTTTATATTGGTTTGCTTACAAAGTTTGTATATATTGTGTTTCACACCATCCTTCATTCACATTGTGTGTTGTTCAAACATTCCCATTCATTATGTTTTACAAAATTAGTCCCCACTGGACCACGCCCACTATCACCCTGAAACTGTGACTCTATGGGGAGCCACTTTCTCATCTGCCTCCTGTGGAGCAGGTAGTAGGTTTCAACTGCTGACCTTTTCATTCGCAGCCCACAGTTAACCCACTGCCCACAGTTAACCCAGGCCTTCTCCTGTGAGACACAGTAGCTGTCACTCTGCCTTACTTACTGGCGAGCAAATGCAGGCTCTGAGAGACTAAAGAGACATTCCCAAGTGTTTCCAGGTGGAGAGTTAAGGGCCAGGCAGCAAGCTGAAAGGTTGGCCCCGGGTGCAGATCGGGTAGTTTTCTTAAATAATCCAGAGAGCTCTTCTGAGCTACCAGTCAGGAAACAGAGACCCAGTGACTGACTGAAATGCATGCTGTTTAACCATCCACCCACGTGCTGCCACCAGTGAGGGCAGCTCCGTCCTCCCTGCACCCCTTTCCAAACTTAGTGTCCGTCTCATCCTTCACAATCACCCTTGAGTGGCCTGGAGACACCTCATTTCAGGAGCCGCCACAGCAGGTCAGAAGTGATGGGACAGGGCGAGGCCACAGGCCCAGCGTTTGTGTCCAGGCACATTCCTCTGTTTGTGTCTCTGGCTTCCTCCTCCCAACTAGGCTGCACTCATTGCCTCGTCTCCGTCCAGTAGCACCGAGGTTTCTGTCGGAATTTGGTTAGCACACGGGTAGGAGTCTCAAGGATTCAGAGCTATGGAGACAGGAGTGGACCAGGAGCCAGATCCCCTTTGCCTGTTTGGTCTTAAAAGAGAGACAAAAGGTAGGGAAGTCTTAGGAATCGATAGAATATGAAGTCATCTCCCTTTGTAACAAAGAGTTCATCTTTAGCCATATTTTCTTTTCCCAAAGCGACTGCTAATTTTAATTCCATTAGGTCTTTTTCTCTTGCAGTTCTGAATCAGCCAGGGGCCCCCAAAGCACAGATTTTTATGAATGGCGCCTGCTCCCCCTCTTTACTGCCCTCCCTGCCAGCCCCGGTGCCCTTCCCACTCCCGGCTCTGCCCGACTACAGGTGAGTTGCTCTGTACACGACGGCCTTCCTGCTTCAGCCCTTTCTCTCAGATTCCAGGAGTCACTTTTCACAGAGATAAATTAATAAAAATGTGGAGGTTACATTTTCTTTCACTTGAAGCTGCACCTTCCCCGTGATTCCTGGGTTGCACTTGACTGTCACCCCAAAGGCTGAAGGTTCAAACCTCCAAACCAGCAGTTCTGAGGACGTAAAGGCCAGGTGATCTGCTTCTGTAAAGACCAACCAAGAACCTCTTGTGGAGCTGTGCTGCCCAGGAAACCACAGGCCAGCGTTCGTGGTACTCCGTACCCCACAGGCCAGAGTCTCTGCAGCCTGGGAACTGTGGGTCAGCCTCCAGGCTGCTCCCAAAACCCGCGGGCAAGTGTCCTTGCGGCCCCAGAACTATGGACCAGCCTCCATGCCGCCCCATACCCTGCAGACCAGTGTCCGTGCCGTCCCGTACCCCACGGGCTGGCGTCCGTGCTGCCCTGTACCCCATGGGCCAGCGTCTGTGCTGCCCAGGAACCCGCAGGCCAGCGTGGGTTGGAACCCACTCAGCAGCAGCTCACACCACCACTCCACTGTCCTGCTTAGTTTTGTCCAAAATAGATAGCCTATTTAAGCAGGCGTTAGAAAAACACAAAATAACATGTAATAAACACTACATACATGTATGTGCTGTGTGTGTTGTTGTGGTGTACCATTGAGTCAGAACCGACCCACAGCTCACCCTCCAGCAGGCTTTCAGAGGCCATTAATTGCATGGGAGGAGATTGTTCATCCGGAGAAGCAACCAGTGGCTTCAAACCATGCGCTTTCGGGATTGCAGAGCAGCTTCTTGCCACTAGGCCACCAGTCGTCACTCACTTGCACACACTAACTCTCTGTCTCTCTCTGTGTGAGAGTGAATAAAGCATAAAGAAAATTTCAGTTTCTTGAGCTGCCACAGAGAGAACTGGATAAATGTTCATGATCTCTCACGCCACGAGTTGTGAGTCCACACCACAGCATGGACCTCTTGCTGTCCCCTTCACTGCTGTGTTCGTCCTCATGTGCCGTTGACCCAGAGCTGAGCCGCAGTGGGTTTTCAAAGGCTGCCTGTCACCCAGGAGACTGCATCTTTCTCCCGAGGAGCAGCTGGTAGATTTAAACTGTGTGCCTTTGGGCTGGCAGCAGCCCCCTGACCCACTAGGCCACCAGAGCTTATTTGAATGGTGGTATAATATTTACTCATATGGGTTTAACAGTTGGCATTCACCACCCATGAACTTCTTGGGTTCTTATTTGCCCTCTGCAGCCTCTTTATTCTCTTCATAAACCAGTCATTTTCCCCTGCCTTTCAGCTCCTCCACATACCTCTTCCGGCTGATGGCAGTCGTCGTCCACCACGGAGACATGCATTCTGGACATTTTGTGACCTACCGCCGGTCCCCACCATCGCCCAAGAACCCGCTCTCAACCAGCAACCAGTGGCTGTGGGTTTCCGACGACAGCGTGCGCAAGGCCAGCCTGCAGGAGGTGCTGTCCTCCAGCGCGTACCTGCTCTTCTATGAGCGGGTCCTCTCCAGGACACAGCCCGAGGGCCAGGAGTACAGGTCCGAGGAGTGACGGCCCACAGCTCAGCTGTCCACACCATCCAGGAAAAGCCAAGATCGTCCTGCGTGTCACCCAAGCAGCCCCACTCGTCCTGCAGCCTTCCAGCCTGTTCCAAGCAGAGACTCCACGTGGGCTGGCCCCTCACTTCCTGCCGGATCAGGCTCCTGCAGAGCCCTGCCAGCGGCACCAGGAGGTGTTCTCATGGGAGGGGAGGGGGGCACGTCATTGTCCAGCCTGACTTCACAGGTGATTAAAAAGCAGTCCGACCCCAGAAGCCCCTTTTCCACTCCTAACATGTCGGGGTTTCTGAGGGGAGTCACACTTCGGCTAATTCTCTCCTATTCCAGTAGTGGGTCTTTTCTTTTTTAACGAGCAGGCCCACAAAAACTGTGACCGAGACTCCATCGGTCAACACTATAGCGAATCAAAGGCAACTGAGAAGACAAAGTGCCTTTCCCTTCCAACAGCTTTTGTAGCACGTCCATTCTGAAGAACAGGCTGAGGAAGAAGCGCTGTTCTTCAGTTCCTCACAGAGCAAGCAGGCAGCGAAGACACACACCCCTCCTTCCCTTTTGTACATCTTTTTCTAATCTTTTGATTCTTTATATGTAGTAAAGACAGCAAAACGAACCCCTGGGGAGTCTCACTGGCTCCCTTGTAGGTTTAAAAGGAGCCTCCTACCTGTTGCTTCTCTCTCTTGCACCTGGACTGTAAGAGGTGGTGGTTTTCTAGGCCTGTTTGACTGGGGAAGAGTCTCCGTGAAGTAGAAAATGCCCTGGCACTAAGGCCCTCGTGGATGGCTCAGTTCATCCATTTCTTTATTGCCCGTGGACGAGAGCTCTTAGCAGGAAGCTGGCTGTGTAAAGAGCTTTCCGAACGGAGGGCTGCCGTCTCTCTGGATCTGTTTTGTTTGTAAAGTTAAGAGGTTACCTGGGATGACCAGCCCTCCCCACAGAAAGAACCCGTAGCGCCAGCTGACATCTAGTACCGCTGTGCTCACAGGTCATCAACTATCCTTCATCTCCCTCCTCCTCGTTCTAGTAAGTAGCCTCTTAGCCACAGAATATACTGAGCGCTTTCCTCCCCCTTCAGATGGTCCGTGAATGCAGCCTGGGGCGCAAAGTGTTTTGATAACACAGTACTGCCTATGTTTTCTAGGGCTGCACTTGGTACAGAGGTTAGTGCTGGACTGCTAACCAAGACGTTAGTGATTCGACTCCACCAGCCACTCTGTGGCAGACAGACAGGACAGTCACTTCAGTAAAGGTGACAGGACAGCTTGGAGACTGGGGCAGCTCCAGCACCCTCCTGCAGGGTTGCTATGAGAGGAATGGATTTCGTGGTGATGCGTCATGGGGTCATCTGTGCTCTCCCTGAAGGTCACCTGAGTTGAGGCCAACAACTGTGGTGCCTTTGATGGTGGAACTGCCCAACACTCACAGGCGATGCCCTGGTGTCAGTACAAAGGGCAAGGAGCCGCAGGCCCAGCATGCATCTGGAGGACTCAGTAACTCCTGCTCGCAAGGGAATAATCTGGGAAGGAACTCGGGGTCACACACATCAGTGTGAAAAGGGCCAGCTTGACCTGGTGTGTCCATTCCCCACACCCCCCACACTGGCCCTGGCTTTGATGCTGAAACAAACGCACCAGTGTCTGGTAGAGTGAAAAACGCCCAATCGTGTGGCTTTAATTAGCCCGTCACTGCCGCTCACTCTTTGACACCTGCTATTAAAGAGGCCAGCAGGCTGAAAGCGGAGGTGCCTTTGTGGGGAGACCAGAGGGAGTCAAGGTAGTGTGACTGATGTCTGTACAAAGCCCCTGACCTGACCGGAGCTGACCTCGTTTTCTGAGTTACTAGGAATTAAGCAGCAGCCATAATCGGCACCATCTGTCCAGCTGTCAATTTTTGATGCAGTTTGCTGCTTTCTGCAGAAACCAAATTTAAAGTGGGTTGTTTCTGCCATCATAGATGCTCATTTATGTATTTGCTACAGGTCTTTTTTGTATCTGCCGTGTACTATAGCAATAAAAGGATCTTTTTGTTAGGAAAAAGCAAACGGCTATCGTTCATAATTTACCAGCTTGCTGTGGCCATCACCTCGCTGAATTCAGCCTTAGCGTTAAGCCCCATGATGTGGTTAAACCACTTCTGTGTCCCCAGGTGGTAAAAGGTATGTCTCGGTCGAGACCATGAGACAGAACCAGGAGCACTAGATGTTGAAAAGGGAACAATGGTGGCGAAGTAGGAAGGAGCTGTGCCACCAACCCAAAGATAGGCAGTTTGAATCCACCAGCTGCTCTGGAGAAGCTAGATGGGCAGTCTCCTCCCAGGCGACTGAAAACCTGCAGGAGGGACAGCTGTGGGTCAGACACAACAACAACAAGAGCTGTTCAAAGTGGTCTTTATTTGTCAGTGGGCAGAATCTTGCGGAAGGTCAGATTGACCCTGGGAGCCAGAATCTTCTTGCGGACAGGGAGGCTGTGATACCAGTGGGAGTTGGTCGGCGGGTTCATCAGCAGCAGACTCCCGTGGGCCAGCTGGAGCCTGACCGGCTGCACCCGCAGGGAGGGGTGCTTCCCCCGAGAGTCCTTGTGACGGAAGAAGAAGTCCCTGCAGGCCCCGAAGGACACTGAGGCGATAGGGCTCCCGGGAGCCAGCTCCCGCTCGTCGTCACGGTGCTCGCCGATGTGGTCATGGCCGTCTTTGTACCTGCAGGGGCAGAGTACGTGCAGGTCACAGCAGCCCCTTCTGAGAACCAGCAACCCCTCAGGCCACCCTGTTCTCATGTGGTGTGACACGGGAGCATGGCACTCCCTGCTGTGGCTCTGCTAGGCCTGAGGTCACTTGCCACTGGCCATGTGCACATCTGCACCGTATACTTTAACAGCCCAGAATTCTGCCGTACAGTTCTGCTGCTTCATACACATAAAGGTGTATCAGGTAAAATGCCTTTTTCTACTACATCAAATCCCTCTGCATGGCCCTGTCTCCAAGCTCGTCCCATGCCCTTCCCAGCCTCACTGGTGGATTTCCTCTCCCCAGACACATCAGGCAGCCTCTGTTCTCCCAGCTGGCCATTCAGTGATCAGCCCAAAAGTGACCCTCCTCCTGAGCCAGGGCTTCACCCTAGGGAGACGGTGCTGGCTGCCATGGCCGAGGGAGGCTGCCCCACATCACACAGTGTACAAGGCGGCCTGTAACGAGGAGGCATAGCCAGCCCCACGTCAGGTGAGAGACCTGCCCTGAGAGCCAGCCCCTTCTGATTTGTGAACCAGCACCATTCCCTGTAGGTCACCCAGCATTGTGTGAAGCGTTCCCGTGTTTTCTTGTCAGTCACTCGTCGCTCTGATGTGAAGACTCCCTTTCCTCATGCCTTTCCCCACGGGGGTCTTTGGAATAAAGGCCTGGCAATCTGCTCCTGTTCCAATCACAGCCAAGCAAACACTATTGAGCACCGTTCTACTCTGTAACACGCAGAACCGGAATCAGTCCTTGGCAACCACCACCCCTTGAGGACTCAAAAGTGCTTGACGTACAAACAAATAATGCAGGTTGGAATCCTAAACTCAACTTCTGGGAAAGACAGAATATGCCTAAAATTTAGTTCCTGGCCTAAAAAAAAGTGTCACCTGTTGATAAGAACAAAGTTGAATATCTGTCCGGTCACCAGGGAAACACGATCCCGGATGCGCTCCAGGACTGGGATCCAGGGCTTTGGAGACAGAGTGAGGCCCGAAAACGAGTAAGTCACCCCAGCATCGCCGTAAGTTGCCTGCTTCCGGGGGACATCATGCCACTTCCCAAATACCTGCACCTTGGCCAGCGCCCCTGTTGGGACAACATACACAGTCAGCCCAAGCCCCGCAGAAACCCAAAAAGGCTTTTTGCCTTTGGGCACCCCTCAAAACAAGATGGGTTCCAGCAGCTCCTAGAGCCACCCTGAGTCAGGCCAGGGTTCCCACACTTGTCCAGTGTGCCCCAACTGGCGAGTGGCCTGACCCAGACAAACAGCCTCCACGTGCCGTCAGCATGTCCATCAGAACATCAGCTCCATCAAGTTGAACTCACTGATCAAGTTCATCAAGTTCAATTACATCTGTTCTACAAAAGGAACACTCGTTTTGTATATAAAATTTGAAATTTTCAATTAGGGGAAAAAAATAGAGAGGAATGTGACTCTGGTTTGGGTTTTTTTGGCAAGTAAATGCCCACATAAATAATGCCCCCACCCAGACAGCACACAAATAGGATGGACACAATGGCATCAGACCATGCATGTCTCAGGACACCGCACCTAGTGAATTTCAGCCTCATTCACCCATCCTTGCATATTCGTACTGTCCTCTCCATTTTTCTTAACCTCTTAAAATGTTACCTCTGATCAAAATTGTCTGCTAAAGGTACAGCCAAGGTGAATATCCCACAAGGTGCCAGAAGAGCACGTCTGTCTTGGAGAGAGTGCCAGAGGGTGCAGCTTAGAGGTCAGGATGGTAAGACTCTGTCCCACCTACTTTGGGCATGTTGGCAGGAGGGGCCCGTGAAAAAAGACGTCCTGCTGGGAAAAGTGAGGGGTCGGAGAGGGGGGCCTTCAACAAGATGGCCTGACACAGTGACTGTCACAGTGGGGCTTGAGCAAGGTGGTGACCAGGAGGCTGTCACAGGACAGGACAAGGTTCAGATCAGTCGTTCAGAGGTTTGCTGTGAGTGGTCGTCAACTCGATGGTACCTCGCAAAAAAGCCATAAGGATGCTGAGGCACAGGACGTTTAGGTATAAGGATGGTTCCTAAGAACAACAAAGGTATGAGGATCGAGTTTGGTGATGGGAAAATAAACAACTGGAGCAGTGCTTGTATTTATTCATTTGAGCGGATACCACCTTCCTTACTTGAGGTTTCTGTGTGAGCACAGTAGCAGTGAAAGCAGAATGGAAAAAAAACCTCTTTTAGCTTAATGTGCTTATCAAAATAATGTGAGGAACGGGGGGGGGGAGAGAGGGAGGTTGTGCTCATGTCAAAAGAGTATAATGTTCAATGTTAATCTGAGTAAAACTGCAGTCCTCAAGACTGAGAGAGAACTAATGCAGAAATAACACTCCCTTCTGTCATTCAATATAACGCCTCCTCAAAGATCGCGTGGACTGCCACAATGTTCATGTAAGAACAGTGATTTGTATCCTGCACTCAGAGAAACTCATGCCTAGCGGAGCCTGGTGGCGAAAACCATCGAGTTGTGGTGGTCTGAATGCACTGGCCACTCCGAGGGAGAAAGATGGGCATTTTCCTCCAGGGAGATTCAAGCCTCTAAAAACCAGCTGGAGGGTCAGTGATGAGTCGGCTCCAAACTCGACAACAGTGGGTGAGTCCAGCCTGGTTTTGGCGCTGTAACAACTGCCTTAGGGACATCTCTAAAGTACTGAAGAGCAATGGTGTCTCTCTGGAGACTAAGGTGTGTCTGATACAGGCCATGGTCTTCGCAATCACTTGTTATGCATCAGAGAGTTGGACAATGACCAAGGAGAATTGATGCCTTTGAGCTGTGATGCTGGAGAAGAGTATTGAGGGTACCATGAACTGCAAAGAAAACAAACAAGTTCATCCTGGAGAGGGTTAAACCAGGCTGCTCCTTGGAGACAAGGATTCTGAGGCTCTGTCTGACATACTTTGGACATGTTGTAAGGAGAGACCAGTCCTTGGAGAAGGACATCATGCTTAGGAGGGTGGAGGGACGGCACAGGAGGGGAAGACCCTCTATGAGGTAGACTAATTCAGTGCCTGGGGTAATCGGGATGGGTGTATGAGAGACAGTGCAACTGGCACAGGACAGAGCAGAGTTTAGGTCTGTTGTACATAGGGTCGCTATGAGTCGCAAGCGACTCGAAGGCACACAACAACAACAACTGCCTTAGCTGCAGTGGAGAAGGCAGACGCTTACAGCTGAGCATCATGTTAGGTCCTACGTGTGGTGGATTCTGCCTCCTAAGGACACTGAAGGAGCAAACAGCGCTGCCTACCGGGGGTCCCGGTGCATCGTACAGGGGCAGACTGCCACCTCTTTCTCTTCTGAAGCAGCTGGTGGGTTCAAACCACTAACCTTTGATGAGCAGCTGATCTCTTAGCCACTGTCTCACGGGGTTCCCCCATCACACGCCAAGGTGGCTTGAAGGAGACCTTGTGTGGCTCCGTTAATTACTCCAATACTAGCTGTAAGGTTGGTGGTTCAAACCCACCTAGAGGCACGTCGGGGTACAAGCCTGGGAGTCTGCCTCCAGAAGGTCACACAGCCTTGAAGAGCCAAGGGAGTGGTTCACCTCTGCACACGTGGGGCCACTGTGAGTCAGCACAGACTTGATGGCAACTCCCAAGGTGGTGTGGCCAACTGGGGGCAAAGGGCCTCGGGCTCCACCAGAGACAGCTAACACAGCTCAGGCTGCTGGGCGGACGGCTCCTGGGGCCTTCTCCACGCCCGCCTCCCCGTGCTCGGCCAGATGCCTGGTGCTCTCACAGGACCGGACAAGCAGCTCAGCACGTGGGCCCGACACCAGCAGCGTCACCAGCGCCTGGACACGCCACAGAGACGAAGCTGGCCAATGAGGATCAACAATCAGAGTTCTTACAAGCCCTCCAGGTGATGCTGGAGTATCAGGTATACCGTTTCTCCTGCTAATCCAGTGGGCCTCAACCCTGGGACACGTTACAGTCACGTGGAAGCTTCTGCACTGCCAATCCAAAGACATGTGGTGCAAATCCACCGGACGCTACATGGGAGAAAGACGGGCGAGCCACTCCCACAGCCTTTAAACCCTTGCGGGCCGGCTGTGAGTCGGTTCTGACTCAAGGTACTGAGCTGGTTTCCTAGGTTGGTTTGAAGTGCTGCTGCCCACACGCTAGGCCTACTTTCACTCATTCTCACTGCCATGGAGTCTATGCCACCCAAAGCGACCCTCCGGTGGCCTTCCAAGGCCATGAATCTCAATGGGAAGAGATCGCTTGTCTTTCTCCCTCGACCACTGGGGACTCGGACCTCCAGAGTCACACAGCCTCTGGGTCAGCACAGTAACGCAACATGGACCACACCACTGGGGCTCCCTTTATCTCCACTGTTCTTGTTGTTATTGTCGTTATGAACCTTTGAGCCCAAACCAATGCTCCGCTGACCCTCCGGCAGGTCTGCAGGGGCTGTAAATCACAGGACACTGCCCACCTCGCTCCCAGGGAGCAGTGGGTGGATTCAAACCACCTGCCTTTGACTTGGCAGAGCATATTCTTACCCACTAGACCTCCAGAGGGCCCTTTCACAGCCACCTCTTCCTGTCAGGTGCTATCGAGCCACACAGGACTCAAAGCGACCTTACGAACGCTGTGCTGTCCTGTGCGTCCTCACGCTTCCTGACGCAGCATCGCTGCAGTCACCGTGTCAATCCGCCTAGCTGAGGGCCCTCCTCTCTTGCGCCGACTCTCCTCCCCACGAGCATGACGGCCCTCTCCGAGGAACAGCCACTCCTAGCAACATGCCTGAAGATGTGAGGTGAAGCTCTGCCATCTTTGCCTCGAAAGATCACTCTGGCTGCACCTTCTAAACATGTCTGTTCTCTTGGCAATCCCTGAGATAGTCAGTACTCCTCTCAGCACCGCAGTTCAAAGCATCAATTCTTCTGTCTCCTCATTCATTGTCCAGCTGCTCCCAATAACACAGCAAGTGACTGAAAAGACCGTGACCCGAATCAGACACACCTTGGTCCTCAAATTAACACCTCTGCTTCTCAGTAATTTAGAGAGGTCCCCGACTGCAGACCTTCCCAGTGCAAGGTCTCCTGCTCTCCTGAATGCTGATAGCAAGTGCATTAATTTACACCTAAGTTGGCTATTATCAGAAAACTACAAGTGTTGACAAAGCCACAGAGAAACTGGAACCCATGATCCGCTGCCAGTGGGGAAGTGAAATGGTGCTGCAACTCGGGGAAATGTTCACACTTTTTCAAAACGTGAAGCACAGAACTATCCTTTTAAAAACAACAGAAAGGGCGAGCTCTGGTGGCCTAGTGGCAGGAAACTGTACTGCAATCCCAGAGGTGCGCAGTTCAAATCCACCAGATGCTCTGCTGAAGAAGGAGGAACAATCGCCTCCTGTACCAGTCAGATCCAATTTGACGGTACACACATAAAAAAAATAAATAAAAATTAAAAATGAAAAAAAAATCCCAAACAACAGAAAGCAAAAAAAACCAGAAATCTCTACAGGAGATCATAGGCATCACAGAGAGCTGTCCAAGAAGGTTTGCAAGTTGTGCCCATGGCTGCAGATGGCCAGGACTTCCGAGGAACCTGTGGTTGGACTCAGGCCACCTGGTAGCCACACACTAACCAGTGGTTTTCTCAAACAAGCCTTCAATAAATACAAAAAAACCACACACTGTAGTCCTTTGCTTACCTGTGAAATATTCTACTTCTCTCTCCAACTCTCGCAAAATCTCGTCTGCCTCAGCTCTGTCAAACAGGACCGTGTAGTCGCAGTTCAGGCCCTCGGCCCGAATGTGCTGCCACTGGGGGTCAGCCACGCCGCCCTCCCCAGGGTCTCTCCTCGGCCTTTTCCTTGAGCTCCCCTCCTCTCTTCCCAACGAGGCGGCGTCTTTGTCTGTCTGACCTTCCTCCGCCCGGAGAGGCCCTTTCACCAGAAATTTGTCCATCTTCTTGAAGAAAGAACTCAGATGAGAGATGCAGGGAGAGGCTGGCCAGGTTTTGTCTGACTGGAAATCTCCTTTTGGTCCCACTGCAACACTTCTCCTCACTGCTTCTGAGTGTCCATCTTAAAGTTTAAAAACAGGTCCTACAGAGGAAGGGGAGGTGGTTAAAGCTAAAAGGACTGCAGGGGGCATAACTGGCTGCTCGGAAAAAGCATGTCTGCACTCCATCCTCAAGCACCTACTTTTTTTCTCCTTGTTGTGTACCATTGAGTCGGATGTCGGATCTGAATGGCACAGGAGATTGCCCCTCCTTCTCCAGCAGACCATCTGGTGGATTTGAACCGCCCATTTCTGGGATTGCAGTGCAGCTTCTTACCACTAGGAGTTGGCCAGCAGATTTACATGCTGGTAGATTCACAGCCAAATATGGAAATAACCAGTTCGAGCATTTCCTTTACCGACTGGGAAGAGGGGGAGGGGGAAAAAGTGAGTCTACCTCCTGGTTACAATACCTGCTCTTTTTCACTCCCTCTATGTAGGAGGGCATCGATACCACTCACCACTGAAAACCTACTGCTATCCAGGGAAGTCTGCCTCATGGGGACCCTCCATCTGTCTCCAAGGCTGTGAACATGCCTCATGGGAGCTCTGGTGGCTTAGCAGTACGGAGTTGTGCTACTAACCCAAAGGAACCCGGTTCCAATCCAGCAGCTGCTCTGCGGGATACACATAGGCAATCTCCTCACCTACAATTTACTGCCTCTGAAAATTCTCTAGAGGGTCAGCTGTAAGTCTGTTCCCACTCACAGTACACAACAAATACACCTCGGAACTTAAGCCATTTTTCTCCTATGGGGTGATTAGTGGATTGGAACTTCCGTCTTTACCACTGTTGTTATGTGCTGTCAAGTCACTTGCTACTCACAGCGACCCAATGTACAACAGCTGTGAATTCTGCTGTATCCTGAGCCAATCTGTCTCTGACACACCTACCCCATTACCCCAGTCACAGTATCAATCAATCTCATCCAGGGCCTTCCTCTCCTGCACTGTCCCTCCACCTTTCCAAGCATGATGTCCTTCTTCAAGGATTGGTCCCCTCCTGGCCACATGCCCAAAGTATGTGAGACAGAGCTTCAAAATCCTTGCCTCCAAGAAGCAGCCTGGTTTCACCGACTCCAGGATAGATCTGTTTGTTCTCTTGGCGGTCCACGGTATGTTCAAGACTCTTCTCCAGCACCACAATTCAAAGGCATCAATTTTCCTTCTGTTATACTTATTCACTGTCCAGCTCTCTGATGCATAGCAAGTAACTGCCAAGACCATGCCTTGGATCAGGCACACCTTAGCCGCTGACTCACATCATTGCTTCTCAGTGCTCTCAGAGATCCCGGACAGCTGATGTTCCCAATGCAATTCACCTTTTGATTTCTTGGTTACTGTTACCAAGAGTGACTGTGAAGCCAAGTAAGCTGAAGTTGTTAACAATCTCAATCTCTTCCCTGTCTACCATGATGCTGCCAATTAGCCCAGTGGTGAGAATCTTCGTTTTCTTGATATTGAGCTTCAATTTATACTGAAGGCTGCAGTCCTTGACCTTCTGCAGCAAGCACTTCAGGTCCTCCTCAATTTCAGCAAGCAGGGTTGTGTCATCTGCATCACACAGGTTGTTGATAAGTCTACCTCCAACCCTGCAGCCACATTCAACCTCATCAAGTCCAACCTCCTGAATGATCTGCATATAGATTGAAAAGATGTGGAGAATAGGATACGTTCCTGACGTACACCTTTTCTGATTTTGAACGATGTGGTGTTTCCTTAATCTGTTCTGACAACTGCCTCCTGGTCGAAGTACAGGTTTCACATAAATACAATTAAGTGTTCTGGGATCAGCAGAGGACTACATAACATATTATGCTACCCTCGCTCATCTGGTGGCCTAGTGGTAACGAGTTGCAATGCCAACCCAAAGACAAATGGTTCAAATCCACCAGCTGCAGGGGGGAGGGGAAAACCAACTAAGTCAGCGGCACATGACAACGACATTATCATTAACCATCATGAACGTAATAAAACAAAATGTCTATGAAGAGCAATGGTGTCTCTCTAGAGACTAAGCTGCGTCTGATACAAGCCATGGTCTTCGCAATCACTTGTTATGCATCAGAGAGTTGGACAGTGACCAAGGAGGATAGAAGGAGAATTGATGCCTTTGAGCTGTGGTGCTGGAGAAGAGTATTGAGAATACCATGGACTGCTAGGAAAGCAAACAGATTTGTCCTCGAAAGGGTTAAACCGGGTGGCTCCTTGGAGGCAAGGATTCTGAGGCTCCGTCTAACATACTTTGGACATGTTGTGAGGAGAGACAGGTCCTTAGAGAGGGACATCATGCTTGGGAGGGTGGAGGGACGGCGCAGGAGGGGAAGGCTCTCTATGAGGTGATTGATTCGGTGACTGGGGTAATTGGGATGGAACTGTTGGAGACGGTGCGATTGGCAGAGGACAGAGCGGAGTTTAGGAAGCGACTCGACGGCACATAACAACAACATGTTAGGTAAAATCCAAAATTATTTGCAAACTTTCACCCAAATAAACTAGGAGGAGGGTTTAAATAGGTGTGAGTATAAGAATCTACATGTAAAAAAAAAATCTACATGTAAAGCAGCTGAATCCTGAAAGTAAGGATTTGTCACATGCGGGGGAAACAGGTCAGTATAGAAATACTTAAGTGGGTGTGAGCATAAGAGTCTACACGGACAGCAGTTAACCCCGCGCGCTGAACCCCGAAACATTCGTCCGTGAGCGTGCGCCCCGGTCCCGGGGGGCTCCCCCACGCCCCGGCAACTCCGATTCTGGCCGACCACCCCCCTGCAAAGTGGACGGAGCACTCACGCGGCCCCGACGCCGCCGCTCACGCCGCCCGCGCGGACTTCCGGCGCCGAAAAGCCCAAGGAAATCAGCGAAACAACGAGGCGGGCGGCCGCCAGCGCCGCCTGCTGGCGTCCTCCGCGCCTTGCAAGTAGGGCTGTACCTGCGTTCAACGCGCTTTGCTCTGGGGTTTAGGCTGGGGGATGTTTGGTGAATTCAGGTCGGCTGTGTGTTGTCTGTCTCCTCTCACTGAAATAAAGATGTTTCAATTCATCTATGAAGGAGATAAGAGTGTTTTAAGAAGTTTAACCTCTGAAGAATGGCTCAAACTCTATTGAACACATAGCCTTGATGTCTTGAAAGGGAGCGGGGGTCATTGAGACATTGTGGCAGGCCAGATCCAGGGCTCGGAGGTCAGTGCCCAGACTTGCGCCTGTGTGGTCTCCTGCAGCTCTTGTCTCACCTGAAATCAAAGGCTACCATTAAAAAAAAAAGGGGTGGGGTGGGGTGGGGAGCTCTGGTGGTCTAGTGCTAAGGAGCTGCAACTACAATCCCAGAGGCTCACGGTTCAAATCCTCCACATGCTCTGCCGGGGAAGGAGGGACAATCTCCTCCTGTACCATTCAGATCTGATTTGACGGTACACGCACACAAAAATAATAACATTAAAAAAAAAGGTATCTTATGGGAAGTGCTTCTTTGTTAGACAGGATGGTTCTCTTAGATCTCCATTCAGTCATGGTTGCACATTTTCCTCCCTTCCCAACCCCCTCGTTCACTTTTCTCTTAAAAAAAATTAATTAAGAAATTATGCTTTTGGCTCTCCGGTCTTGTGCTCACTGGAGCAAGGTCGTGATCGGAAGAGTTGTTGTCGCCATTTCTTCTGTCCTTCATCTCTGCGTCTGTCGCAGAGCCTCCAGCATCGCTACGTTCGGGCAGAGCATCCAAAGGTTTACCACCTCTGTGGTCCGTAGAAGCCACTACGAGGAGGGCCCAGGGAAGAATTTCCCTTTTTCGGTGGAAAACAAGTGGCGGTTGCTACTAATGATGACTGTATACTTTGGGTCTGGATTTGCTGTGCCTTTCTTCATCGTAAGACACCAGCTGCTTAAGAAATAAAGATGTTTCAATTCATCTATGAAGGAGATAAGAGTGTTTTAAGAAGTTTAACCTCTGAAGAATGGCTCAAACTCTATTGAACACATAGCATTCTGCTTATGTTTGTAAATAAACTTAACCTACGTGAAAAAAAAAAAGAATTTATACTTTTGACCTCTGGTACTGGAGAAGAGTACTGATTATACAATGGACTGCTAGGAGAACAAACAAATTCGTCCTGGAGAGGTGAAGCCAGGCTGCTGCTTGGAGGCAAGAATTCTGAAGTGTCATCTGATATACTTTGGACATGTTGCAAGTTGGGACCAGTCCTTGGTGCGGGACGTCATCCTTGGGAGGGTGGAGGGACAGCACAAGAGGGAAGACCCTGGGTGAGATGGATTGACTCAGTTAATGGGGTAATGGGGGTGGGTGAATCTGAAACAATAAGATTTGTACAGGTCGAGGACTGCAGCCTTCAATATGGATTGACGCCCAACATCAAGAAAACAAAGATTCTCACCACTGGGTCGATTGGCAGCTTCATGATAGATGTGAAGAGGCTGAGATTGTTAACAGCTTTCGTTTGCTTGGCTCTACAATCAACACTCTTGGAAATTAAAAGTCAGGAAATTAAAAGATTAATTACATTGGGAAAGTCTGCTGTCAGAGACCTGTACTGAAGAGCAATAATGTCAGTCTGGAGACTCAGGTGCACCTGATCCAGGCCATACTCTTTGCAAGTACTTGCTATGTATCAGAAAGCTGGATGATGACTATGGAAGATAGAAGGAGAACTGATGCCTTTGCGCTATGGTGTTGGTGAAAAGTGTCCATGGCCAACAAGGAGAACAAACAAGTTCGTCCTGGAGAGGGTGGAGCCAAGCTGCTCCTTGAAGCCAAGGATTTTGAAGCTTCGTCTGACATACTTTGAACATGTCCTTGAAGAGGGACACCATGCTTGGAAGGGTGGAGGGAAAGTGCAGGAGACGAAGACCCTCAATGAGATGAATTGATTTAGTGACTGGAGGGTAGGTGTG